CCAGAAAGGAGACAGAGCAAGACGAAGGGAGTTCCAGGCGAGAGGGACGGCCACAAAGTGAGTCTGAGTGACTCTGAGCTGCAGGTTATCAATGCAAGTGCTTCACACACTCAGCACACAGACACCCCCCTACCTCTATAGCTGCTGTATATGTGTGTACATGTGTGTGTGTGTGTGTGTGTGTGTGGGTGGTTAGGAGAGGGAAATACCTGCTCTGGGAGGACCTAAAATGGTGGGCAAGGAAAGACAAACACACCTTGATATGGCTAGGATGGACAGGTATGTGTGTGTGTCAGTGAGTAGTAAAATGTGTGCTTGAGTACCTGAGCGTGTACAGTATGTGTGTGTGGCGGGGGGTACAGGAGCGCCTGGGGTTTGGTGCGCGCCAACGCAACCGCCCCAGGTTGGATTTGGCCAAAAGCTCAAATAAACAGCCACATGAATTCCTCTTTTCTCCCCGTGTTCCCTCTTATAGCAAACACACATTTATGGTGCGGAAGTGAAGGAGAGCCACCGTACACAGGCCTCAGTGTTCCCGCTGCTATGCATGTTGGGAGGTGTGCGTGCATTTTTGCATAAGCATGCATTTCTGTATAAGTTGAAGTATACAAGCCAATTCCTGGATTCCTAAATTCAGCTCAGTTCAGCTTCTGAATTAAACTGAATTTCTACTTTTCTACTTGTTTCTCCCACCCTTTCTATATTTGTGATTTTTTTAAACTTTGACTACAGAGCAGAGAAGGATAGAAGGTTAAGATTTCCTTATTGCAACCATTAAAAAAAATCTGTCCCCGGACTCTTCCTCGCTCCTATTTCCTCGCTCCTATTTCCCCATTACTCTCCTCTCCACTGTCAGGTAGGCGGCCGGCCTCAGCGGAGTAAACACACTTTCATCAATACTCACATACACATCTTTAATCTCTCTACACACTAAACAGAGACCCCTCTTTTCCCTCCGACATCGACCCAACCCTGCATTCCTCCGCACCACCCCTTCCTCCACCCACACACACGACCTGAACAAGCCGCAATTCAGGGGGTAAGTCTGGGAGGGGAAGAGGAATTAGGGCTCAGGCTGTACAGTAACTGGCCAGACAGATTTCCTACTGAACAAGCTGTAAAATCAACTGTGTGTGTGTGTGTGTGTGTGTGTGTGTGTGTGTGTGTTTAATTGGCAATTGGCCTGAGATGAAAGATTTGAGATGTTATTCCTGGACGTGTCCTCTAAGAGCTTATAAGAGAAGATACAACAGTCACAATCGTAAACATATCCGTCGAAACACACATACATAATTAGTACAGTCACAAACACACACACACACACACGCACACACGCGCATACGGTTATGTAACCTCGGTCTGCTTGGCAGGCTGGACATTAGTGAGCTGGTTGAGGTTTACCTGCATCCATCAGTATTTGTGAACCATTTCACAGAACCAAGAAACTCATTTCTCATCTGGTGTTTACACATGTTTAGAGTGGCTTGGTAATAGAGGTGAACTGTGGAGAATAAAAGCCTCAAATCTGTTTAAACTGATAAAAATAACAACTGTGTGTGACAGACACTATAACAATACTAGATGGTCAGTTCCAATAACACTTTTTGGTTATATTCTATTTTTATGATTCTAATTAATTGTTCACTGTGTAAAAATACTTTAAATGTTTTGTTTCGTTCGACCAACAGTCAATACCCCCAAAAATAATTAGCGTTATTGTAAAACATAAGATTCGCTTGGATTACTGAATGTTGGCATTATTATAACTAAATGTTCTGAAATGATCAATAATCAGAAAATAAATCATCATCAATGTTGATAAATAGTCTAGAAGTCTATTCTTTAGCCAAACCCAAAATGTGCTGGTTGCAGTTTCTCAAGTGTGTTTTACTGGTATATTCAGTCGTCTATAGATACATCTATAGATATATATATATATATATATATATATATATAATGTATGCCTTTGGGTTTGAATTCTGTTAAAAAACGTAATATCAAAGAAATACTTTTTTTCTGACGTTTTATAGAACGATCGATTGAGTAATCGATGAATCAATCAATGATTCGAGGAAATTATGGTCATATTAATCATTAATAAAAAAAGTCAAATCAAAAGGATTTTCTAACTTAGCACAATCCAAACTGGATAACCTACACAAATGAGTTGAGCACATTTACCATCAGCCCAAAAGTTATTTTCCCCTTTCCCAATTTGTCCTTCACCATTTCCTTCCCCAGTAGCAAAACAGAAATCTAATATAAAGACAGAGCATATTTGCTTTTTTACTAAAAAAGTGAATGTTCCTGTAATTCCTTATTCTCTGCCAACAGCCAGACCACTGCAGCGGGCTACATTTAGAGGATATTCATCACAATAGTCCTGCCAGACCCTTTGAGTAAATGAAAACAAGTCTAAAACAAACACTTTTCTTCATCCCTGCCACACTGCATGTCATTAGCATTTGTATACAAGTACACAGCTCTCCTCAAATATATTTACTATCAACATGGTGAAGTGAGATATTATATCTCAGTCAAATCTGGGCCTGCCACTGTTTGTCTTCTTGTTTACACAGCGTTTGAACAGACTAAGCTATTCATTTTATCCAGTAAGTTGTTTTCCCCAGCGGTTCTCCCTCGTGTCATCTGTTCCTCCGAACCCAACACAAGTCTATTTGTTGTATCTTTGTCAAAACAAACTCAAAATCAACACCCTGGACCAGAGCAGCAAAGCACTGGAGGATCTCCAAGCCACGTTTCAGCTTTGTTTCACAACCAACATTAGTCCATTACTTTCAATCAGTTATATCAATAAACTCCACTATTGGCTGCATTTTACCCTTTGTGTGTGTGTGTGTGTGTGTGTGTGTGTGTGTGTGTGTGTGTGTGTGTGTGTGTGTGTGTGTGTGTGTGTGTGTGTGTGTGTGTGTGTGTGTGTGTGTGTGTGTGTACGTTCATAGAGTCAGAAGGTTTGGAAAGAGTGCGAGGATTTCTTGTTAGACCACATCCATAAATATTGAAACAAGTTCCCTTTCTTCAAGTCTCAGAATACTGAGTAAATATTGACATGGTGGATATGGCTGAACTGAAGCATCCCATACCTGTGTTCACATATGCGCATAAATGCACACACACATGTATATATGCTCTCACACATGTATATACACACACACACACGCGCGCCCTCCAGTTGTGCTCTGAGCACTCTCTGTTCACACCAGGGAAGTTGTGGAAAAATTAATTGCAAAGTTAAACCTACATGAAACCCCTCCTCAGTAACACATGCAAGCTCCCTGGCATGTGAATGGGAAGAAAGCTGAAACTGTGCGAACTGACACGAGACACACATACAGACCTTTACACAAATTAAAACTAAAGTCCAGAGTAGAAACTCCGCTTCACTGAGTTTGGATAAATCTCTCACTCACAGGGTTTTCATTCCTGAAATGAATGTGTTGTGTGTGTCTCTTTATGCAGGAGACTTTGAGAAATGAAGTTGTTATGTGTGTGTGTTTATGCTGCGCTGCTCCTGCCAACAGTAACAGCTCAGTAGCCAGTGAGCAGGAAGAGCGAGGTTCATTAAAAACCCCAACACTGCAGTTACATAACCAAGAGTTCTGTTCAACCCAGAACCCCCTGTGCTACAAACACACTTCTCCCTCATCCCCATCTTCTTCTCCCGCCCACGCCTGCTGGCAGAGCCCACCCATCATCCTCTTCTCCTCCCATAGCAACAGCTCATCTCTGCTCTCCTCCCTTGTTTCCCGACCAACCTCACTCCTCCGTCTCCCCCCTCCTTTATCTGCTCCCCTGGTCCCTGCCACCTCCTCCTCGCTCTCATCAAACAGTTCCTTCTCTTACTCCCACATCATCATCCAAGCTTCACTTCAAACTTTACTTTACATGCAGCACGACTACGGACCAGGAATATTAACTACAGTTCAAACAAGAAACTTTTTTTGCTTTACTTTCAATACTTAGAGCAAAAAATGACACAATTGTTCCCAGATGTCTTTTATCTAGTCTCAAAAAATGCCTTTAGGTCTTTCAGAGGTGGAGTTTCATACAGAGATTTGGTTTCCGCAAGCCCTTCAACTGGCTTGCATACTAAGGATAAACAGAGAGTGCAGTTGGTGTGTGAACACAGCAGATGGCAACATGGATTAAGGATTTGGGCAGTATCAGTGATTGTCTAGGATACCTCTAAAAACAGCTCTGTCCCGTTTCCCCTCCATGGGATTATCGATGTCTGAGAACCCAACATGCTGTCAGAAAAACCCAGCATGTGGTCGTCTCACATGAAGGAACAGTGTCCTCTTGTGGCCTAAAGACAGACCTGAGGCCATTTACATCACCAGCAGATCCCGTTAGGATGACTCACTGAGGCCTGTTATCAGGACAGAATTTAACCTATGGTTCTGCAAACATAGCTGGAAAATTATGATATGACATCGGAGGTTATTATAGTTTCTATATGAATTTCCTTGGGGATCACTGAAGTATCTATCTATTATCAGTCTGTGCAGTAATTATCCTGAACGTTTCCCTAATCCATCATCACCACCATGTTTCAGTGGGTCATAACCTGAGTGTTCCTGAGAGATTTATCTGTACATTGTTGTAAATTATCCACACTGAAAAAAAGTCAGTTAAATTTGTAGGTAAATCTCCTACTTTAAATCTCCTATTTACATTTTGTACAAATTGTTCATTACACACTTCAATGTACTTGTATGTGGTCATAACAACATTTTAACATGCTTAGTAATCTAAAATATTTGTCAACTATTATAACTTTTTTGAATTAAGATATATCCAATGTATTATATAGCTATGAATTATCTGCTTATACACAAGTCTGTAAATTGTAGTTATTGACAAATGTAACAATGTTTTCAAATTGAAACTAGGAAGATAACAAAAAAAGGTGTTGCGAGCTTCTATTAAAATGTTTACACAGTCCACTCTTTAACCTTTGTCTATCATTTTTTAAACTTCGCATTAAGGCCTATTTGTGTGTTTGAAACACTAAGTCAAAATGTGAATATGCATGCACATACTGATGGGGATGTGGGGAACAATTACGCTTTGCAATTAACCCGCCTCCCACACCCCTCTCCGGTCTGCAACAACATTTTCTCAATAAAAACATTCCTTGGAGCCATAACATGTCGGAGACTGCTGATTTAAATCACAGCAATGCTAGTTAAATGCATAAATAAGGATTAACAGAACAATGAGCATTTATTGCAGCTAAAGGCAGCCCAACCGAACCAGCTTACAGTAATATCGAGAACATCCTAATAATAATAATACAAATGGAAAACACAGAAATACTTACATTTAAACAGGATATATATTAACACTTAAAGCACACACTCTCACACAAACAAACATGTCTTCAAAAATTATTGAGGGAGAAGTCGCATTGGAAGTGGCTGTGAATCTCTTGAGGACTGTCATACTCAATCTTGACACAAGGGGGCACTGGAGAGCTGTCTGGGGAGGCAGGGCTGACCTGAGAAGACAGCAGGGAGGCAGCCTTGGTGGGAGTGATCTCCGCTCTGAGGCGAGAGGGCCGCAGGGTGGACACAGGGGGGAGGACGGTGGTGGTGCAGCTGCTGCTGGTGTGGGATGATCGCTGGGAGTTTGCATGTGAGGGCACGGCGTGGTCCCCCCGGATGAAGTAAGAAGGGGGAGGCAGGGTGTTGGAGGAGGGCGGCTGGGGGTCTCGAGCACCTCGGCTACCGGGGTAAGTTGGAGGGCACTGAGAGCGCTGGTGCAGGGCTGGCTGGCTGTACATGCTGCCCCACGGGTACGACTGGTAGGCTGTGATCCCACCTGCAGGAAACCCACCACTCAATGAGACAATCAAGCTGTATCGGAGAGGATTCAGCACAGGAGCTGATTGTCACTATCAGTAAAAAGTAAAAATGGCAAACTAATACACTTATAAGCACATCTGTTAACGGTCTAGTCCTTGTTCAAGAACCAACTGCAGCAGAGTGGGCTACTTTTGGGGAATTAAAGGATGTTGTTCTTTTTCTGGACAGAAAATGTTTGGTAACTAGCATTCTGGGCACTCAAGGCTTGGATAGGGATCAAACTCTTCCACTCTTTTGGCCCATGATACATCTTTCTGCCAAGTTTCAAGGAAATCTGGACAGTATTGTTTCTTTAATCCGGTTTATAGGCAAACAAACCAACCAACACACCTGCAAAACAATCTTCTTAGTGTAGGTAAATATCTGGTTCTTTGAAAAACAGTGTGCTTAAACCCCTTCGATTGGTGTGCTTTTGTTTTTCCATGAGGAAGTCTAATAAAATCTCATCTTATTGACTCACCAGGATGACCGGCCGACTGCAGCAGGATTTGTCCTGCGCTCTGGGACTGGTAGTAAGCTTGGCCTCCAGTGGAGTAGGTCACAATCCCAGTGGAGTTTCCCCCGGGGCCGAAGGTCAGGTAGGAGGTAGGGTTGGAATCTGGAGGGTTGGGGGTAAGGTAGGGGGAGGGGGTGAGGTAGGCCATGCGGGACAGAGATGCCTGAGGTTGGTGCTGGAGCTGAGTGGAGGGGTAGGAGGTCTGGAGCTGGTAGGAGAGTGGGTTGTTCTGCTGGCCTGAGGTCAGGTAGTCCAGTTTATCCCCAAAGTCAAATAGAGAACTGCGGACAAAACAAAGAACGATTTAGTCAAAACAACATCTTCAAATATATACGATGTGTAACTGCAGGGACGTTATATATATATTATGCTCAGATACTTCCATATGTCTTTATATCGATCTCACCCAAAGTGTAGAAAGGGCCCAATAAAATACTTTGGGAACCTTTGCAAATGTCATGATTATTTTGTCACTCAAATCAGCTAGCTGTCATGACAGCACCCTTTTAAACACAACAGGAGAATATGTCTTATGGTTCACACATAAGGACTCAAAAGCAGAGACAGCGATAATCTGCAATTCAGTGTGAATGGAACCTGCCGCCACAGCCCGCCACAGCCCACCACCGCCCGCTGAGCTACAGAGAATGAAAAGGCATCCAGCGACACTACAGGGGGGAAATAAGGGTACCACTGTTTTAAAAACACAGGTATCATAAAAAAACAAAAACACTTAATCTGTACTCCCAAAACAAATAAGAGTATATGGCAAATAAGGCAGAAAACAACCAGCCATTTGGAGAAGAGTAAGTAAATCTGGTGCTCAGGGAGCTAAACATGTATTAAAATTCATTGCTATTATTCCGTTTTATATTGCCTAGAATTAGGGGATTTATTTACGAGCTGTGATAAATAGTAGTTGTCAAAGACATATAATTTTCTACAGAGCAATTCCTAACTGTTATTTCTCCCAGCAGGATTTCTCAAGTATTTCAGAGAGCAAGCTGAAATCGACTCCCCTCTACAGGCGCTGTCTGCAGCATCATTATATCAGTAATTCACAGGATCCCTGCTCCTGTCTGCAGCCTGTCCTCCTGTCATCTGTACTACTCATCCCTGTTCAAATCATCGTCTAGTATTCATGTCACAGTCTGCTGCGAACCGAGCTGACCTGGTGTCAGTCTGCAGAGCCTGGGAGGAGCCACACTCCAGAGCATCGAGGAACAGAGGTGGGTTGTGAGCCAGGGTGTTAAGGAGAGGTGGAGCTGGGTTGGCAGCGTTGTAGGTCGTTGTGAAAAGGGGTAGACTGGCTCTCCGCAGAGGGGGGGGGGCTGTGCATGGGACGGGGGTGATACTCTGCCAACCCCCCCTGAGATGAAAGCTGGTGCTGGCCCACATCTCTCCCTCTGGATTGACCTTGGAGATGAAACAGAGAGATTAAACACTGAGATTAAAAGAGACATTGTAGTTTGGTTTCTGGGGAATTGTACTATCTCAACATGCAGGGGGAAGCCTCACCGAGTTTAAATGTAGTGCATAGTAAGTGCTAGTGTTCCACTGGTTAGTTTTTTATGGGTGTTCAAGTCAGCTTTTGGGCCAAGACGTAGGAAACAGCTGGCTCCGTCCCCACTAGTTCCTTGATGTTGGATTGAATCGTTACCTCTGTGTGTCTACTCAGAGCACCATTACGCCACAATATCTTAACATGGCAAATAGTTGTTAGCTGCTATATTAGTGTTCTGAATGTCCAATATACACTCTTTTTGTGGGAGAATGGGCATTTGACCTTGCCTGAGGTCTGCACACTCCAAGAACTCTGAGGCTTTTGTTCTGTACTTTGTGTAATGTTGATCTCTTGCACACATGTATAATTTATGTAGCATTCTATTTTTACATGTTAGTATAGTAGTTTGTTGTTTTAGGTGGGAGAGAAACTCCCTCTGGTGTGAACTTTGGGATTTTAGCCTTTGCAGACCATTTACATGCACACAAACATATATAACACACTACAGGAAAAGGGAAAACACAAAAAGCACAGTGGGGCCTCTTCTCTTAAGTAGTATTTGTGGGGACCTAATCATGAGCGGTGCTTTTGATTCATTGTGAATGAGGGTTACAGCACCTGGGCTGTTGAGGCTGGCCATCAGGTTGCTGTAGGAGGGCGGAGTCTGGTTGGAGATGGCGGAGAAAGAAGGCGCTGCAGGGGCAAGCTGGGGCATCTTTGTGGCAAAGTGATTTGAAAAACAGGGAACTCCCTTACTGAAAAGAGAATAAACATAAATTACAATCAATCATATATAAAATAACGACTAATCAAAAGTAGCTTGGACCATTTGAGAACAAGAAAAACTACCGACACAGAGGGATATAGTGTAGCACCTGTTGGGTGCCAGGCTGGGATTGATTGGGTGATGCAGGGGGCTGCTGCTGCCAGCTCGGCTCTGTCTGTGTTCACCCCTCGCTGTGATGGAGCGCTCCACTTTCCTCCACTTAGCCCTGCGGTTCTGAAACCAGACCTGGTTCACAGCGTCATGCAGACAAGACAATAACATTGATCAGTAAAAAGGACTGAGGATGGTGACGAGACAATAAAAGATGGGAGGTGAAAGAAGGCAGTCGCTTTTGAGGCAGGAAGGAAAACTTTTCCCTGTTTGGTATCCCTCAATTATTGGAGAACTCATTTAAGGGCAAATAAAAGGGATAATTGCCCCCGTTTTTTTGTTGATTGACACCAAGAACTTAGGTTTCGACCAAAAGCCAAAATAAAACTGAGGTGCACTTAACTTAATTCCTAGTTTGACAATGATTCTCTCTTAGAGGAGGTAAATCACCAAATAAGAAATGTAAAAGAGTCGGAAAACTTCTAACCATAATTCTTTGAGGCGTGACACCAACTGAGGCGGCGATGACTTTCCTCTTCTCTGCGTCGGGATAGTGGTCCTCCTGGAACAAGGCCTCTAAATACTCTAACTGATCTGCACACACACACACACACACAATGAAGTGTTTGCATAACCAAATCTGAACACACCAGAGGCCTGTACTACGAAGCCGGATTTTCCTAACCTGGATATGTTTGAGTTAGCCGGTTGGCCCAATCCAAAACATACGCGCTCTGGCTAAACTGTACTACGACGCTGGTTATCAAGTGGATCGCTCAAGCCAGCCGTGTCCTATCTAGTTAGGTGCGCGTTCACATGAAAGTGGTGGTATTTGGAGCATTCGACCAATCACAAACATGGACAAGCGTACTGACAGCGCAGCGAGTCATACTTCCTGAATGAAAAGTGAACTTTAATATTAGTCAAATATGAAGAAGTTAAACATCCATGACTTAAACCCTTTATCCAGGATAAAAGCCACATAGTTGCACCTGCAAGGTGAATACAGCTGGTAAAAGAAAAAGCGTTTGAATGCGTACATTAACAGGTTTATGAAATCACTGCCCCGTCTAAGACACGAGTGGATCTGACTTTAATTACATTTGACTCGAGTGTTTCGTCAACTTAATGTGTTGCTTAAAATAATACTTCTGCATACAGTATGTGACACTGTGAGTGTTGCACGGCCAGATACGGCTCAAGAAGCTGACTCAAATAAGGAAATATATGATACATTATGATATGATATGAATGATAATGGGACACATCGACGTCTGCACTCACAGTGCCGCGGACTGTACTTAATGTTACTCTGATCCGGTTACTTATGTTGTGGCAGATATTTAAGTAAGCTTTCTTAACGCTAATGTTATAATAGTCAGATTGCTCTGAAGATGGGAGGGGATATTCTATTAATTTTCACGTTCACACAGTCAGTTGATTTTTGCCGGCCGTCTTTCCTGCAACGGCAGTTTTTCTGTATCCTCTATCCTGTAATATGACTTGATAGCTTTAAACTCCGCACACGGAGCTCTGATTGGTCAGCAGGCGGTGCTTTCACTGAGTTGATCTCTTAGCCTGCAACCTAACCTCCTCCCGAGGAGGTTAGCCGCTCAGCATAAGTTACCATGGAGATCTAGCCCGCTAAAAAGAGAACCAGCGTCGTAGGACCGGAAAGCCCGAGTTTTCCCTGAAGTCAGCCGGCTAAGCGAAAATCCAGCTTCGTAGTACAGGCCTCTGGACAGAAAGACAGTTTGGTTACCGGTACTGTAGAGAGTTCTGGTTTTCTTCTTGGGTGGAGGTGGAAGCAGGCCGTTGTCAACGACCTCTACCCCCGGCAACAGAGGTAGGCTGAGGCCTCGACCCCTGCTGCGGATGGAGTGTCGGGTGGAGTAGGCCTGGTTTATCTCCATCTGTCATCAATAAGAAAAACATCAACATCATCTCTTCTCCGTCACAAAAGCCAACAGGGAAGTTTGTCTAAAAATAAGTTGAGGGTCACCAGGAAGTGCACTGTGGAACCTTTCAGCCCACAGAAAGCAACAACATGTATGATTTGTTGAATTTATTCATTAATCTGCCATTTTGTTCTGAATTGATTATTTGTTTCGTCTATTAAATGCCAGATAATATAAAAAAGGTTAATTGTTCTGATTTTAAGATTGAAGTTTGTGTTCCTGGTTAATTTTGAGTGCAGTTCTGGCCATATATTAGGAACATTCAACATCTTGCTATTGCGCTACATATTTTCATTCTTTATTTATTAATAATAATGCATACTTCTGGGTTTTGAGCAGTTATTCTTCAAGCTACAGATGACTTCATGGTGTAGGTACAACTGGCAAAAGACGATCAAATGTGATACATATTTCCACAGTGAGATGAAATGATTTGACACAGTTTGACATCATCAAATTCTCCATTTGCTTGTCGCAATGCTTCAATTAAGCTCTTTCGCCTACTGATATCACACCACACCGCACACTGAGCCAAATATTAAAGCCCAGGATGTTATTTCCACAGCTGCATCATTAATATTGCAGAAGGTTGTAGGTGTGCATCATTTCACACATATTACACCGTAATTATACAAGACAAGAGTTATTATTAGACACCTGGAGATCTTCACTAGAACATGCAAATGTGCCTGTTGGGCTGCAGAGGTTTAACCTCATGCACCGCCAAGCAATACTCAAACCACAGGAAGTGTATTTAAAGTCCTGCAAACAAACCACAGGTTGCAAAGATCTGAAAAGTGTCAGGCTACATTTGGGGAAAGATGTCTAAAATGAAGACATAGAAAAATATAAATTAATAAATATTATATAACCACCCTAAAGATTCAATGAAGAGCTTGTACTACTACAAGGTGATGCAAATTCACTCAGTAATACCGTCTTATGTGATCCAATGCAACTGTTCCTTTATTATACCCATGTTATATTTTTATAGAGGTGTTAATTTAATGATATGTTTAATCCCTGAAGTCATAGTTAGCGGTGTTATTTTACTTGACTGCACAAGGTCATAAAAACTCAACATTATTAACTTTGTAAAATGTAGAATTTATGGCAGAGCTGTTGCATTTAATTGCAATTGATTATATATTGCATCTAAAGAGGGTAGAATACACAGTATATAGTGTCACAGTCTCTGATAAGATTTATCCAGTCGTAAAGCCTAAAGGAGAGCTCACCAATTAAGCACATCACAGGCTTCAATAAACACCCGAGTCTGAACTAACTGGCAGCGGTCATGTTGCATAATTGGTAATAAAGGCACCAGGTTTTGAATATGTGGTAAAAGAAAGACAATATCTCTGGTTTTACTCCTCGGTCAATGTTATACGAGTGCATGATGAATCAGTGGAGAACTATTTTAAGTGGAGATCATTTTGGTTATAGGTGCAACTTTTAGTCAATTGACAGAAAAATGATTGCCATCTATTTTAATAATCATTGATCAATTGAGTCATTTCACCTGCAAAAATGTCAGAAATGACAGTTTTAGCCTCAAATCTGGAGATTTCCTGCATTTCTCTGTTGTACATCAAAGTAAAACTGAACACTTTCAGCTTGGATTTTGAGAAAAAAAGATGGACAGTTTTCACTATTTTCTGATATTCTACAGGGAAACGATGACTTGATGAATCTAAATGTTATAATCTGCAGATGAATCAATGAGAATAAGTGTTAGTGGAAACCCTGAGGGGGAACGGTGTTTGGGAATTCAGGGAATCAAATGTTGTTCAGCATACTGTATATGTTCACATTTCCTGCAGTGATTGATAAACAGTGACGGTGTAGTCTCACCTCGTGAGGCCGTGGGCCCTGCAGGGAGTGACTGTAAAGTACAGAGGGGCTGCGGGGTCTTTTTTTCCCGTGAGGTAGAGGAGGTGCAGGTTGGATGGGTGCAGGTTGGATGGGGACAGGAGGCTGTGAGGAGTACAGCAGGGGGAGAGGAGCAGGAGGAGGGCAGTACAGGCCAGCCCCCCCACAGCCCAGCAAGACGGGGTCAGACAGGTCGCAGCTGTTCATCAGACCGATGGGAGGCTCGGCCGGAGCAGAGCTCTCCTCTGAACTCATCGCTGACGCCTCCTGGATCTGACTCTCCTCCTCATAGCACTCGCTGACATCTTTATAACCTCTCCTGTTTCTCACTCGCTCACTAAGCTTCCTACCGCGCCTCTTCCTACCCTTTTTCTTCTCATTTTTCTCTTCTAGACTTTTCGTTTCTTTGGCCTCCTGCTGTGCCTCCTCCGCTCCCAGCCTGCTCTCTGGCCTCACCTGCTCCTCTTCTTCTGTCGCCATCAGTTCATTTTCTAAATCAACATCTTTCCTTTTTCTCTCTTCCTCCCCCTCCTCGTGTTCTTGGCCTGTCTCCTCTCCTGCCTCGTCCTCCTCTGTCTGATTAAACACCCTCTCCTCTCCTTCCCTCCTCCTTGTCCCTTGGTGGTTCTTTGTTTCCAAATCCTCCAGCTCCTCGCACAGAAGGCTCGGACAGTCTGCAAAAGAGTGAGGGAGAGGTTTTTTTGACTTTTGTCCAAAGTCTGTAAAGCCTAGATAAGTAACATGAGGCAGTCGGCAAGCAGAGTAAGCAAGATATTCAAAATTATGCAACACAAATATCCAGCCAAATGTGGCGAAACCCTTTTGCAATGAAAGTACCGAGATCTAAATCTACTGAGTCGGCTCGTCCCTCAGTCCAGCCTCTAAAGACACTCCCCTAAATGTATCACTAAAGTCTAAACAACAATCACGGATTTTGTTCTGAGCAATTAAGTTAGCAGCTTGGGCAAGAACTCAATACATGTAGAACGAGCAGGTAAACAGTAA